AATAAGAGAATTAAGATTCTCCAGCCGTGCTGCACATTCATCATGACCCACTTTGGAGACGCTTCTGGGGTCAAACCTGTGACCTTCTCATTACTGGATGAGTTTTCCAACCAGTAGGACACCCGGCTGCCAACATACCTCCTCCACCACTTATCCACTGTAGGTCTCGTGTGTCGACCACAGGCCACAGCTGTGAGATTTTATCCAGGCTGAAGCGTAAATCAGAGAGAACAGTTTAGCCTCCTCACGTCTCCCTAAATATCTCTCTCCAGGGAGCACGAAAGACACAATCTTCAATTTATTTGGTGGGTTTTATTTTTGGTTCATTTACGTTTGTTCCATAGGAGTTCCACTTTCTGAATCCATCTTCCAGAAGATGCAGCGGTTGCATCCCAATGTAAACAAATCTGTTAAAGCCTCAAAATATATAGAAGAGTTGCATATTTACAGAACCTTTTATCAAAAGCTTAGATAGTAAACCACATTATAATCCTGTCTGTCTAAGTATTAGACTCGTGATTGTTTAACAAATAGTTATAAAGACACATTAAACTGCAGCTCCACTCGACTGGTTTCAGGCTTTATTACAGATTTATGCGTCTGGCTGCAGGGATTAGTGCGTCTGAGGTCGTTCAGATGTTGCGTGTAAAGGCACGTGGAAAACGCCATCTTTATACCAAAGGTGCTTTGGGAGGCTGCGCCATGGTTGCACCTGCCGTTACAAAGCAACCTAAACATGCTGCAGGACGATTAATGATTAAGAGTTAGCATCACTGACTAAACTTAAAACAAAGATACGGTCAGAAACACTGGTGTTGTTTTATTGTGTAGTCAGTTTTTCACGTGTTACTTCCTGTTTTATTTTGTATTTAACTCTCCCTCTTGTTTCTGATCTGCTTACTTCCTGTCTTGGTGTGTTTTGTAATTGTTTGCCCGCCTTAATTAGTCTTCACCTGTTGAGAATATATCGTCTGTGTTCATCTTTGTACCTCATGTTGTGATATTACTGCCGGTTGTTCTGTGTATCGGACCTTTTTTATTTGTGGTTTCACCTGTATCCTGCCTCTAACTGTCCTGCATTTGGGTCCCATTGTCTTGGAATCTCCGTACATTTCCAGCACCGTAAATCCCTCACGCACAACCTCAATGACCTAACGTTATAGCTAGCACCAGTTAGCAACGTAAAAACAGAGAAATGATCTTGCTCACCACTTATCCAAAGATCTGAGCTGATGTATCTGCAGGCATTGCTCCTTCCGTTTGTGTCAAAATATATAAAAATACTTCACAGTTTGGCGTTAGGGTTACCGATTGTTTCATTCTTGTCACATGACCTGTGGTGCACTTGAAAAAGTTGAGATTCTTCTATCTCGGTACGGCGTAAATGTGCCGGAACAAACAGGCACATCGTAATGAATGTGCTATTTAAAGTAATTAATATTAAGCCCGTCAGTGAGGTCCAACACTGATGTTGGGGGAGAAGGTCTGTCTCACAGTTCCACTTCAACCTAAAGGCGTTGGATGGGTTTAGTTCAGGACTGCAAACTGGAAGCTGACATTTTCAGGATTTCACTATTCATATTTTTACTGGGACAGAACAGGACAATGGGTGGGAAATGTAGTGTCTGATGCCTTCAAGCACACCTGTGTCACACAGACAGCTCAGGGAATATCTGCTGGCATTTTAAACCAAAAAGGGGGACACACTCACCAGAGGAAGAGTCCCAGTCCTTCCTGAGAGTATTCGATTAGATAATGTTCACTCGTTCTACAGACTCTCCAACTCCAATATCTTTCTTCTCCAAACCTCTGACTGTTCCCTGGAACTGACATCAGTACTCGAGGAAACTTCTGGAGGTGTTGGAGAATCGCTAAAGTTGTCTATGGAGACGCAAGTGGAGTTATTGTCGTTGGCCAACGATTGGTGTATTGTTTCTTTGATGTGAAGTAGTTTAGACAACAGTAACACGTGTTTGTCTTTACTCTGTATTGGTAGTATTTTTGACCAGTCTTTTTTGACCTTTTATTGTTGAATTGTCATTTTGAAACAGGAAATGTCTAAAAGGTCTAAAATATCATCGTATACTGCATGAAGCATCCCCACATCCTTCTGGGCGTATAGTAAAAGAGGGCAGAGGTTTGAAATAACAAAAAGTCCAAGATTTAAGGAACTGGTGGTTTTCTAAAGTATTTCCAAGACGTCATGCAGACCTTTGGATGTGTTTGAACAGCGGACTGTTTTAGTGATGGTCAAACCCTCAAAGTGGAATCTATCATCAGTGCTCAACTGTTCTTCTCCATCCTGGTGTAACGCTGATAAGGTCACCCTGTGAAACAACTCTATGAATCAGAGTTCCTCTCCTGTGGAACTGTTTACATGGATCAGTTTGCTTATCTGGGACTCGACACGACACCATGCTGGTATGTGGAGACTCTGTTCAATTGAGACCTGCAAAACACTTTGATGTAACACTTGGCAACCAGGATGAAAATATTCTACACAACCTGTAAACAGACCGTCTCTATTTACAGACCTCATACTCACTGATTACTCACTGTTCAGTGATGAAGGTCAAGTTACTTCAGAAACATCAACAAAATGTTAATATGAGTTCAGTTTATCCAAAAGACACTTTAGACGTTTCTCTCAGCTTTTCTAAAACTTTGAATTAAACAGACATTAAACTTTAACTGAATGTTTTGGACAGATGATCAATTATTTTTAAGTCCTTCAGAAACTTGGTTTGTTACAATAGTGATTAACCATGAACCTAAACTCTAAACTCAGTTTAGGACTGAAACAATGGATGGCAACATCCAGCTAAATCCGATTAAACAAAATTAACTTTTGTGTTTCACGTTTTAAGATATAACAACAGCTTATTATGTAGATATTATTGTTAATTATTTATTTTTATTTAAATTATTTTCATATCAAACTCCCATTCCTCCACCTTCCTGAAAGCTGAATACCAACTTTATGTTTCACATACTGATCACCTCTTCAATTTGGGCTCCAAACATTGTACTTTGGTTAAATGTAGTAAAGTAAATCATTTATAGGGAGCTCTCTACAGTGTATATCAGTATCTCATGATTCGTCCATCAGCTTTGACTTTGGCCTACAAGTATTGTTGTAAAAGGAAAAGACTGTTGGGCTACAATGAAAGGGGAAATAACAAAATCATGAAATCCAAACTAAAGACTTCAACTTGAACTTCATTTTTGTCCCCAGAGGGCAGTTGGTTTTACAGCAAGGTATAGAACAATACATAAAAGAAATATACAGACACAATACACTACAGAAAGTAAAGAGTCTTAATGTTTGAGAATGAGAGAATTGATGAACTCCAGACAGAAAGATCTCCTGTTAAAGGTCCAGACACAATGATTCTTATATTCAGCTGATTATACACTAATGAAAACGTCCCTTTAAATATTATATTACATTTCTGATAATAGATCCTCCTCAATGTTTCACACTGGACTCTTTAATTTGTCTTTAAAACCAGAATTTGCTGCCGGTATCGCTGTGGTGGACTGTAGGAGAGTTTACTGATTCCTCTAAATGACCTACATCAACAAACAAGACCATCATCATCTGATCTGAAACCAGCTGCATTCTCAGACTCGTCTTGGCTTTAGATTTTTACCCACCGGCTCCACCAGTGACTGTTCTAGTTCACCGATCTGACCGTCAGAAAGAAGAAGGTTTTGACACGTGGGAGATTTTGGCGTCCTCCCTGAAATAACTATTAATAACAGGCAGCTGTAAAGTGGTTGCTACCGCTTCCCTGCCAGGATTCTCTCTGGCTGAGTCACGGCCCTCTTTCATCCAGACCCGCAGCCTCGGGGAACTTTGGCCTCATTCAGATCCAATAGCCTCTAACCTGCTCCTTTGTCACCCCCATCCTGACCCCCGACCCAATATCAGACCGACCAGCTGTCGATTTCATCATCGTTTGTTTGTTAGCTGGACTCACTGAGAATGAGCTGTCAATCACAAGGTAGCCCCCGCCCTAAAGCATACCCTGCTTTATGGTCTGTTTTACTCTAAATGGGACCATCAGTTACTAAATGAACATCATGCTGTATGGAAGAAGACTGAAACTAGAGACTGAGACCAGAAACTCATCAGGAAACTGTTTACTGAGCACAGAAGTCAGAAGTCATTTCTCCATAAGACTGAATGATATCAGTGTTTGATTTGAAAAAATCTAATAAAAAAATGTAATATTTAATTATATATTACTATTATTTGGGTCTGAAGCCATCGCCAGCTCCCTCTTTTTCATCTCCTTTCTTTTCAGGTATCATGATTTATGTGCAGGTCCTATCATAGCAAAGAAATCCAACATTAGCTAGTAGATCAGTAAATTTCTCATGTCATGTGGCCGGTTGTTGTCTGGCTGTGCTGCACTTTTGATTATTTATGAGAGGATTTTCATAATAAAACAGGGTACATTTTGCTGAAGAAACAATAAATTAAATTGAATTTAGAGGGATGGCCTCAAAAATACCTGGTCCCCCTGTTTGGTGTTAAAAATTTGTGCATTAATTTAGAATAATTTAAAAAATAATGAGTTAAAAATGGAAGTTTATTTAATGATCTGTTCTGGCCACGTTTTAGACTCATTGATGGGTTTAAGTTTAATGAAAACTGTATTTGGAAAAATGCCTGAAGCCTTGGAACTAAGACAATTTATTGATTTCTAATGCAACTTTAGATATTTCTATCAATGTTTTTGAGGTAAAATATCTTCATTCAGGGGTTTTTCCAATCAAATATTGATATTTGTGACTGTTTGAGATGTATTTCTCTCACCTTCTGGACACCACATGAATATTTCTATATCCTGATTTTGGTGATCTGGTTGTCATTGTTTATGTTTAAGATGCAGAAAACTTTCCCCATTTCCACCTTATAGGCGAAGCTGCATTACTTATTCTTTTACTGTAGAATTGGATTCCTTCTCCTAATCAGACTGTTATTCTTTTAGATTTACCTTCCAGGCAGCTCTTGGTACGAGGTCATTTCAGTACGTGATGAAAAGCATCTTGCAGGAGCTGAAACTTTGATAGGTAAGATAGGTAATCCATCATGGGGAACATTTCATCGCCTTTATTTTCTTGTCAAAGTCGAGCTTTCATCACTCACTAATGTGCTTTTGTGGTGCATCCAGTTAAAATTTGAGCCTGAACTGCCAAAAGGTTTTATATTAAAGGGCCGCGTTGCTGGAAAATTGTGCGAAGAAGAGAAACAATAAGCAGATATGGACGTTGTGGGAAGGATGATGAAGAATTCGGTTAAACATCTGACCTTAGAAACATCTGGTTTTCTAGGATTGTTGTTTAATTTTATTGGCATCCATTTTATTCCTCCTCCCAGGTAAAAGATGCGATCCAGGAACTGCACCGTGGAGGGTCCAGATGACGGACACGTCCAGCCCACTAAAGCTTTCATAAAGCAGGAAGACGAGAACACGCCGGAGCTCTCAAAAAGGAAGATGAAAGTGCAACGAGAGGAGAAGGACGGGAGGACGGCAGTGTCTGGAACCACAAAGAAAACTCAGAAACCTGCAGCAGGAAGCAGGAAGGCAGGTCTGCCGGATCTGTCGAAGAAAGACCTGCTTCAACTGCTGGGTGTCATGGAAGGAGAAATTCAGGTACGCATCGTTTCAGGTGACATGTATCTGTTGATGTTTGTGAGGAGCGGTCTATGAGCTGTTAGCAGCTCCACCGAGAGGTAAAACGATCAGATTCAGCTCGTCTTCAGCAGAAAAACAGCTTTTACAACCAAAATTTACATTTATCGTTAGGCGGCGGCCTCTAGTGACTGTAGGAGTTATGATGGGAGCAAAGGAGGAAATCAGGTGACGCCTACGTATCAGAAAGAGCAACAAACTCACATAGAGAGGAGGTTGGGGTGGATGGACCTAAAAGTGACACTCACATCATAATGTATAACTTAATTTATCAGTTAAAGTACAAACATGTCTTAAGGACATAAAAATCTGGATGAACTGCAATTTTCTGATGTTAAAAAAACTGTTAAAGTTCTTGTACTCGGCCACAAACGCCTCCGTTGGCTAGTAGGATGGGCCGCTGATGTGTTCAAAGTTTATTTCTCTTTCCAGTTTAAGAGTTTTGTCTTTTTAGTGATTGTTAAGGAGACAAAGTGGGTTGTTCATCTAACAGACATACAGATGGAGAGACTGGAGTGTTGTGGATAGTGTGTGTGATGTTTGTCCAGAGTGTTTGAATGGGTGGGCAGAGCCAGATAGCAGGAAGCTAATCATCTGTAGTGTTTAATGAGCAGTGTGTGTGTCGTCCTCTGTGAGTCCCATTGTGTGTGATATATGTTGGGTGAGGTCTGTGTCCAGGGGTTGATATCGATGGTAACAACTAAACCTTTTTCCCAGTCTGGGAGACAATTATCTGTGAGTGGCTGACTTTAAGTTTGCAGGTTGTTATTTGACGCCAGTTCTTCCTTTTAAGCAGAGTTTCAGTTGTGTGCAAGAAGCTGTTACCACTGACATCATGTTTCTGTTTCTGTGTATCTGTATCAGTGTGTATCTGTGTATTAGTGTATTAGTGTCTGTGTATGTGTGTATCTGTCTGAGCGAGCTACGATCAGATTATGTTCCAAATGTGTGATTCTTTGAAAATAACTAAGAAAGTAGCTGTTGGGTCATTGGACCTGATCAATAACTAATGCTCACCGCTGCTCTGACACAGTTCTTGTTATTGATTGAGATAACGAAGGATTTGACAGCGCGGTTGCCATGCCAACTGAAGACAAAGCAGGACCAGTTATTGTCTTATTCAGAAACACCCAGTTAATCTTGGTCCTCTTTAAGACCATGAATCCAGAGAGTTTGTGCTCGGTGCTGCCGGGCTGCAGTCTGTTAATGGTTCTCTAATGGAGGCACATTTATAAAGGCGTCTCCGGAGAGGCCTCACCCTTCGTTTCCATCTGCTCGGGCGTGTTAAATATTTTCCATTAGCGATGAGACAGAAAAAATACTCACATTTCACACAGGAAGAGCTGCATCCAAACATTGAAAACAGACTCACAATCATTTTTATGGAAAATATATAAATCTATAAACACAACATTTAACAGAAAATACATTTATCACAGTTAAATTAATGATAATTTACTTTTCTTCTGTAGAAAAACTTTAATCTTTAAGTTTTAGAAGATAAATAAATAACTATTGGCTGGGAGCTTCTTCATCCCTCTCTCTGAGCGCACAGTATCGTAAACCATAGCGCCCCCTGCTGGATAAACTTTACAGTGACACCAAAATATTACTACAAACATTTTATTCTGTATTTTATCTCATAAAAAAACAGTTTTCATTTAAGTGTATGTTGGATATATACAGTATTACGTTATAATAATAATCATAATAAGATATTTGTACAATCGTGATCTCTGGGAACCTGCGAGAGGTGAAAACTCTGGAGAACAAGGAAGTTATTGATCATCATTACATCCTATCAGCTGCCTTTTACTCTTTACAGTTGCATGCAGATATAAAGGTCAGGTATTGGTGGGAGGTGAAGGTGTGTTAGAGCCCAAAAATGGCTTTATGAATGAAATTATAGCCACTTTTACCTTTTGTAAAATGACAGGAGACTGTGGGCCAATTAATAAACAAACATATTTATCTATGTAATATTTATTTATATCAAATTTTTCTGTCTAATTGTCAGTTAGTCTATTTTTTTGTCGTTTTTTTGTTGTTTTGTCGGTTTTCTTTTTATTCTCTCCCTCATCAATCACAGCTGTCATTATAAATACAATATGAATGTTTTACCCCATCATGTAATCCAGTCTCATCACCAGGTCTGTCGTCTTACACCTGATGTCTCCTCTCACTACAAATACAGTTGAATTAAAAGATGCACAGAAAACCACTATAGCATCATATAGTATTTTCATATAGTAAACCTGCTTCTTTTGATAGTAAAAAATTGTATTTATGTGATAAAATGTGGATTAAAACTCAACAGTAATGATCTTTTTACCTTAATAGTAGAAAAAGACAGTTAAATGAAACCAGGTAAATAAAAACACATCAGATGTTTCCCTATATATATATGACTGCATTTAAAAGGTGCAGCTGCATTATAGTTGTAAAAGCTTAGTTTACTTTTGTTTATACAACATTAAACTGATTAAAATGAACATAAATCAATATGCAGCTATTATTATTGAACGTTTGATCGTTGGACTGAAGGTTTGTGTGCGAGGAAGCTGAAGAACAATCTGAAGAGTGAATATAAAGTTCAGAGAGAGTCTGTGTCACTGTGCAGAACATTGTGGGAAACAGGAAACAGCTCCCTCTGCTGCTGTGAACCTGAACTCAGTCATGTGATATTGGAGATGAGGTAATCCATCTCGGATCCACATTCAGATGATGTCAGCTGATGTCTGAGAGTTTAAATTCTCTCTGACCCTGTTGTGTCTGTTTGAGTCCACATTCAGGAGGCGTGAGTGTGAATCCTGTTGGATCATAAGATATTAGAGTTGGAGTCACAGGGGTCTGATGTTGTTTCACATTTGATTCTGGTCATAAAACGAAAGATTAAGCCAGAAATGTAGTTTTGTGCACTCGGAGTACACTTGGTAAGCTTTCTGCTGGGTGTTTGAGTTCACTGTAAAAACAGATAGACAGCTGGAGCGCCAAAAAATACTGTAAAATAACAGAAAATAACAGTAATTTTCTATTATTAAAATACAGTTTTTAGATTCAATTTGACATAAAATCTTGTCTTTTTAATGTTTAATTAAAGATATTTACACTGTAAAACCAATGCAATGATCTATACATACAGGTGAACTCTGCTATAATACAATAAGCAGGCTTACATTTACAGCAGAGTGCTGTTATTATTGGATTTTTATTATTTTAATGTGAATTTTAAAAGTTATACAACTGTAGTAAAAGTCATTATCTGTGAAATTACAGTAATTATTGCTGTTTACACTGATAACAACTGTATTTGGACAGTTTACCAATGCTTATACACTGATAAACAACATTTATTTAACATTTCCATGTAAAATTACACAACAAACATCATCAAACCAACAGGCAAACGGCCATCAATATGATCAAAATGTCTTTTCTACTGATACATAAATGACAATAAATAATTAATAATAAAATTAAGGTGGTTTCAGTTCCACCGACAGTGTTCAGATATTTAACTTATTCATCCATAAAATCATCCCAATCACTCATTAAACCCCCCGCTGTGTCTCCTCAGGCCAGAGAGGACATCATCGGCCTGCTGAAGTCGGACAGAACCAGACCCGAGACTCTGGAGGCTCACTACGGCTCCTCTGTGCCCAGCAGACCTCTGCAGGCCCTACAGAGAGACGCTCTGCTCACCCGCAGCAGCAACAGCACCGAGGACGTGTACGAGAAACCAATGGCCGAGGTTAGACACAGATATACCGAATACACTGACAGTGGGGGGGGGGTCATACAGACAGAATATTATCTATAAATATAGATATTTATTTCCATGGAACTTTCAAGAATATTATAAAGAATCGAAGAGCAGCAGTGGTCTAATATAACATCATATAATGTAATCTAACATAATGTAATATAATATAAAAGGAGTTATAGAGGATGGAGATAATGGATGGAGTATTTTGGGGGTACGTTTACAGCAGCCTGCTATAACACTGTGGGAACTCGTCTGAATGAAGCTCGTAATGGTTGCGGACAGACTCTTTGTTGAACATCACCAGCGTAGCTAAAGGCCGGCTGCAGGCGGGCGGACGCTGATAATGAGTGTTGACGTGTTTCCCCGTCAGTTGGACCGGCTGGAGGACAAACAGAAGGAGACGTACAGACGGATGCTGGAGCAGCTGCTGCTGGCGGAGAAATGTCACCGACGCACCGTCATGGACCTTGACAACGAGAAACACAAACACACCGACTTCATGAACAAGAGCGACGAGTTCACCAACCTGCTGGAGCAGGAGAGAGAGAGGTGGGTGAGAGAAAGAGAGAGAGAGAGAGAGACACACAAGTGTGTGAACCCTTTGCTTGGTAGAGACCAAACCAGAGCTAAAATATGTAGGTTTTATAAAATAATAATGTGTCAGTGTTTACAGCTTCCAGTTTCTGACCTCTGCACCGAGAGAGTGAACGTGATGAACTGACCTCCGTACCTGTATGATGTATGTACAGCGGAGGAGGAATGCTGATGTCGATCTGAGAGACTTTAAGTCCATCAGACTCGACTTCCTGCTGGAAGCAAGTCAGGACGAAGCTGCTGAGATCACACACAGAGCTGGAAGACGGGTACGATGCTCGACCCTCATGCTCGACTGAAAATCCATCGCCCATCAAACAACATTGGCGGATGTTTATTTTTGTGTGGCAGCAGACGTCAGATAAGATCCATCAAGGTTCTGGATGATGGTTCTGATAGAATCATTACTGATAGCTTTATACTCTGAGCTGTGTGGACTTTATATGATCCCAGCATCTTTCTCATTATTCTGACGGAGGTCTTAGAGAAAAATGTATTAATTGAAACAAAGGTTATGTTACATTTAAAGGACCAGTGTGTTGGATTTAGTGGCATCAAATATAATATATTTTATTCCCATTCATACAGTTCCAACATGGTTTATGCAGAAGTTTTCAAATACACTAGACAAAAATAACACATCCAAACATTAAATTAAAATGTCTGTAAAGAGGAGGAGCCTCAAGTTCGGCATTACGGTTGTCGCCATGGCGGTTTATTGGAGCCAGCGGAGGTCACGTACTGCGAGTTGAGCTGCTCTCAGTTTGGAAACAATGGTGGCTCGCCTGCTCACACAGGATCTGGTATTCTAGATAAACAGTGAAATGTGTTTGTGAACAGATTTGAGGAGAGAAATAGTCAATAACAGAATTGACAGATGACCATTCATTGGTTGTCCTTTTCTAAACGGGACTGATGTTCAGGTTGAAACAAACCAACCAGACACATCTGCTCCTGATGCTCCGTAAACTTCCATATTCAGATCCTGCTGTCTGTATTGTGGTCGCCCCTCAGCCCCTCGGCTCTCTGCTCTCTCTCCATCTGATAACATTCCTGTTGGCTGCAGCCAGCAGATTCACTGCAGGTGATATCATGAGTGAGCACAGAGACGGTGACATCATTCCCTGCAGCGATATCTGCTGGACGATTAAACAACCGTAAATACACCAGAAACCTGCGGCATAAAGTGCTGTCAGTAAGTTATACGTGTAAAGATTTCTCTGTTTCACTACAGAACATTTTAACAGACAATGATACATACGACAGAAAGATGTTTAGAGTCAATTGTTTTCTACAAAGTGAAAGTAAAGTAAGTTTAAGTGTCTCTAGTTGACACACAAACATGCAAGCTTTATTTTGAAAGTGTAACAAGACGTATGTATTATTGCTATTTTGATCAGAAGTTGCAGACGTTACATATTTATTGTTAACTTTATTGGGGAGTCCAGAAGTGATGTTACAGCGTCTGTCTGCTGTCTGATCCTGTTGTCAGTGTTCTCACTACAGCTTACACCTTTCACATATAAGTGCTCATGTTAGCATAAAAATACTGATTGTTGTTGCTTTAAGGAGACACTGGTGTGATCCTTTAATCAAAACTCACTGACATTTACACATTATACTGATGAACAGAATTCAAGTGGCAATAAAAAGTAGTATTCAGACTTTAGTTGACAGTGTTGCAACAGGACACAGCTCTTTCTTACAGGATGGTGACTGTAAGTGCTCGGCCACCCGAAGGCCCCTGGTCCCGGTCTGACAGGGTTCGTGTGGTTCGAGGACTTTAACCAGTAAACCATGTCTGTCTTCAGAAAAATGTAGGTTTGATTCTCTATAATTTCACAGCGGTGAATAATTCTGATTCATGTTCAAATGCAGCCTGAAAAAAAACAAAATCCCATTTTTATCCGAACAGTCAACAACTGATGTGCCTCCTCGGTGTCGCAGCGTTCTCGTTGACTCGCCTGTTCAGAATGTTAATAAGGATGCTAATTATTGCCACTATAATTAGCTGCAGATCAGCATCTCCGGGTCTGATGTGTTTGCTGTGGGCTCAGTTTTATGAGCGTTTGGGGCCTCTGGCAGGCTTCTGTCAGCACTGAGGCTATGAATAGACTCGAACAGAGGGAGGCTTTCTGCAGAGCCATCGTACAAGGTTATAATGATCTGTCCCCGAGGCAGAGATCTGTGTGTCGGAGGAATGAGGGAAGATTATTGGGGCTGAACTGCAGGATTTTTATATTAAATTGGTGTTAATTAGTTTTAATCACAGAGCCAGTTCATCCAGCAGGATTTTACCTGAAGATCTCTGTGGGAAGAGGAGACGCTTCTGATGCTGTAAAGACTTCAGAGACTTTCTCTGAGCAGTGGATAACAATGTCAGTCGGTCAGTGATGGATGATTGATTGTCATGAAATGTTGGACCGACTTTCATGGTCCCAAATTGGTGGATTGTTGTAGAAAGTGTGAACCTATCGTAACATTGTAGAGTCCCGTTGAAAAGCCTCAAGTCCGAGTTTATTGCTCGGGACTTATCAGAAGTTGTTAATTTAAGTCTGTAACTGATATGAATTGATCAGAATTTTATTAGAAAATTATTTACAGGACAAGTTTTTAGAACAAACGTATGGACACCTTTTACTGTGATACATTATCTGCACCGGATACTCGTTTCAGTACTCATTCAACCCTACTTTTTTCCAGTGGACACTTTTTAACTTCTCCAACAAAAGGCAAGTTGTTATCATTTGTTTTATTGCTGATTTTTTCCAAACCACAACCCTGGTTGTCACTGGAGGTTAATGAAATATGTGTTAGAGGCTTTTACCCAGTAAGAGCTGAGACATGTGTGCAACAGAAGACCTTCCCCCAGCCAACAAAAGTGTGAGTATCCAAGCCACAAAACTACGGCAGTTAATTTAGAAGTGCTCAAGCATCCGGGTGATATTTATGTACAACATGTATTTGGAGTAATGAAGAGCAGCAATAGAAAGCCTCTGCAGCTGTAAGCTCTTTGCACCGCTCATATTTTGGCTCATTTAAGGAGGCTCTGCAATGCAAACCACAGGCCTCCTCTGCTGTCTGAAGCTATGATCTCACACACATACAATCCAGCCACTATGGAGAATTTATATCCATGTCTTCTCCCTTTGCACGACACCGGGGGGGATTATAATGAGAAAGGCTGTGTAAGTCTGGCATTGTCCTCTCCAAAACAAAAACTCTCGCTTCGCATTGTTGCCACGTTTCTATGGAGACACTGCTGGCTGCAAGATGCACAGGAGACAGTCGGGTTGAACTGGAGCAAAATTTTGGGGTAAAAAGAGCTTAAAAGAGGCTTTGTGTGTTATGTCATACCTGCTGCAAAGTCATCCCTCCTCCCCAGAGAGAGACAGAGGGAGCAAAACAGGGAGAAAGAGGAAGAAGAGCTCACTGGAAGCCTTCCTCCTTGGTGTCCAAACAAGGGCAGGGCCTCTTTGACCATATATGGACGGGAGGATGACATCAGCAGCCAGCGGAGCAGTGGCGTTCGGCACAACGTTCACCTTTCGCATTGTGCACTGTTGACATGTTTGGAATGTGATGGCTGATTCCCGGTGGAGTCTGCAGGCCCCTCCTTCCTTCTTTCCCTCTCTGACCCCGTGAGAGACTCAGCAGCAGTTTGGCTCCCGCTCAGCTTTAAAAACACTCTCAGATATGGATCAACCTGCCCGGCATCCCGACTGGTTGGTGAGTTGAAACAGAACTTCGAGGGGAAAAGTTTTTCATGTAGGAGGAGAAAAGATGTGATGGTCTGGATTTGAGGAGACCTTTATGCATTTGGAGTGTGTGATGTGACTCCCGCTGAGATTAGTTAAACATCTACCAACCAACAGGACATTAACTCTGGCAGGTTGAACTCTCAGGACTCTGACAGCAGCTCTGCAGTGACTCTTTATCGCAGTGGTTTGGTTTGTTGATGCAGGTTTAAGTCTGTGAAAGCGTAAAAATCATCTCGTCTGAAGATTATTCAGGTAGAGTTGTAAGAACTTTATTTACATAGCACCTTTCATACAAACATGCAGCACAAAGTGTTTTACAACACAAATGAAAGATTAATAAATAACATTTTGCAACAATAAAGTGTCATACATTTCTTTTTTATTATTATTTTATTTCATTTATGATTTATTATATCTTTTACTGTCTATTAAGGTCTATTTGTCTACCTAGTCTTATGTTCCTGTCATTCCCTCTTCTTAATAAGGTTTTTTTCCCTTCATTTATAATGTTATTAGCTTTGTTTTCTGTACTTTTAATAGTAAAAGTCTTTTATTTGTTCTTTTGTTTGGGGTATTTGCTGGGTAATGGCTTGATGTAATATCTCACTGTATGTCCACCTTTGTTCTGTGCTGCTGTTGTGATAAACTCTGCAAGTGTTTAAAAAAAGAAAAAGAAACAATAAAACGATAAATATCAATAAATAAAAGTCAATAGAAAAAATACCAAGGGTAGTGGTTCCCAATCGCCACTAGGCGGCGCTAGAGCTGTCTGGATTTTAAAGGGAATAACTTTTTTTAAATATATATACAGTAGGTCTAAATCTCAAATTTCATTAATTCCTGTGAAGAAAACTAAAATTTGAAATTTTCATTATTATTTAGCAGCAACTTACACAAATAAAATAACAGAAGATTTAATAGAACAATGAGAAGAAAACACAATTAAGGCTATTAAGTCTGCATGTTGTTATTTTACAGAAACTTCCTGCAGTAATTGTGTTCACTGTTTGGGTTCATTGCACAGTTAGGGTCAGTTATTTTGTGCTGTTATTGTTATATGATACACAATATCCATAAAATAACGTCAGTTTACGACAGAAAAGAGGAACCGTTGGCTTAGGGGCATAAAAACAAAACAACATGTTGGTGTAAAATCAATTCAGGATTGGTGTCATCTACATTAAAACAAAGTTAACACCCACTCATTTGTATTTTCTTCTGTTTGTTTCTTAGACTCAAAAGGTTGTTGGAGCAGGAAAAGGCGTACCAGGCTCGTAAGGACAAGGACCACAGCAGGAGGCTGGAGAAGGTCAGAGCGGAGCTGGTTAGGCTCAAGTCCTTTGCCCTGATGTTGGTAGACGAGCGACAGCTGCACATCGAGCAGATCGACCAACAGAGCCAGAAGGTCCAGGACCTGACTCAGAAGCTGCAGGAGAAAGAGCAACGTTTGGTGGCGGTCACTGACACCGTTAAGGAGGACGGCCAGAAAGTCCTCAAGCTAGAGGCTGAGCTGGAGCATAGAGCAGCCAAGTTTGCACAGGAACACGAGGAGATGACCGCCAAACTGGCCAACGAGGAGTCCCAAAGCCGCCAGCTTAGACTGAAGCTGGCTGGATTGGCGCACAAAATTGAAGAGCTGGAGGAGAGCAACCAGGTGCTGCATAAATCAGAGGAGGACCTGCAGGAGCTGAGGGAGAAGATCAGCAAAGGGGAGTGCGGGAATTCATCTCTCATGACTGAGCTGGAGAATCTGCGGAAGAGAGTGCTGGAGATGGAGGGCAAGGATGAGGAGATCATCAAAACAGAGACTCAGTGCCGGGAGCTGAAGAAAAAGCTCCAGGATGAAGAGAACCACAGCAAGGAGCTGCGGTTGGAGGTGGACAAACTGCAGAAGAGAATGGTTGAGCTGGAAAAACTGGAAGGCGCTTTTAACAGGAGCAAAACTGAGTGCTCTCAGCTTCATACAAACCTTGAAAAAGAGAAACGTGTCGTGAAAGATCTGGCTGGTGAGCTTGAGACAGTGAAAACCCGGTTGAAAGAACTAGAGAGCTCAGAGTCAAAGTTTGAAAAGGCAGAAATGGTCCTCAAAGACGATCTTATGAAGTTGAAGTCCTTTACGGTTATACTGGTAGATGAGAGGAAAAACATGGCGGAGAGACTTAAACAGGAGGAACAGAAAAGTGATGACTTAAGTAAGATGTTCAAAGCAGAGCAGGGCAAGGTTACGGAAGTCACAGAGAAGCTGATTGAGGAGAGCAAAAAACTTCTCAAATTTAAATCTGAAATGGAGGTCAAAGTGACGACTGTCGTCAAAGAGAAAGATGAGTTAAAAACTAAACTTGCAAGTGAAGAGGAAAAGTGTAGGGAGCTGAATACCAAACTAAGTGGTATGAAAATAAAAATGGACAGACTTGAGGAGTCAGAGAAGGAAATGCAGAGAAAGTGGGCCAACAGGGACAATCACAGAAATCCAGACGACGACAACAAAATAAAAGAGCTCACGCTGGAAATTGAAAGACTTAAAAGCAGACTCAAACAACTTGAGGTGGTAGAAGGAGATTTGATGAAAACAGAGGATGAGTACGATCTACTGGAGAAGAAATACAGAACGGAGCAGGACAAAGCAAATGCCCTTTCTAAGCTGCTGGAAGAAATGAAAAGCCAGATCGCAAGAAACAAAGCGATAGAGAAAGGCGAGGTCATGAGTCCAGAGGCGGAGCTCAGAGTCCGCTGCAAGATGGAGGAGGCTAAAACCAGAGAGCTGCAGGTGGACGTCCAGGCCCTGAAGGAGAAAATCCATGAACTGATGAACAAGGAGGACCAACTCTCCCAGCTGCAGGTGGATTATTCTGTCCTCCAGCAGAGGTTCATGGAAGAGGAGGAGAAGAAGAAGAGCATGAGCCATGAAGTGGCCAACCTCACCAAGGAGCTGGAAGCCACCAAGCGCTACAGTCGCGCCTTGAGGCCGAGTATGAATGGTAGGAGGATGGCCAATGTTGTTGTTACCTCCACTGCAGTGCAGACAGATGTGATGGCCAGTGAGCCTGCTGAGGAAGAGACTGCGGCCGGCTTCATCCGGAAATCAGTCCTTGAGGAAAACCACTTAATGAGCAACCTCAGACAACGGGGTCTGAAAAAGCCAACAGTTCTTGAACGATACCCTCCGGCATCAGCAGAACTCGGGGCAGGAAAATCCTGGATACCGTGGATGAAAAAGAAGGAGGCCATCACTCTTACACAGACCACTCCCGAGAAGACAAACGGGGCGTCCTTGCTACATCCGCCTGAGATGACCATGTCCCAAAAGCCAGGACAGCCACTGCGCATCCGAGTGACCCCAGATCACGAGAACAGCACTGCCACCTTGGAGATCACCAGCCCTCGAGCTGAGGATTTCTTCTCCAGCACCACCATCATCCCGACTCTCGGCCTTCAGAAACCTCGCATCACAATCGTGCCCAAGCCCACAACCGTGAACTCAAAGAGCAATGCCCAGGAACTGATGGGAGGTCTTGATCGCACCAAATCTCCGGTCACGATAACCACCATCTCCAGAGCCAAGAGTCCAGACAAGACCAACGGCTCCGACAGCCTTCAGTCACCGGTGTCCATCATCACAGTCAGTACCACTCCTGTGGCTGAAGCATGTGCGTCACCTGAACCTCACAACGTCACCACGGGCCGCACAGTGATCAAGGTGACCCCAGAGAAGCAACCTGTGCCAGCTCCTTACAGGAAATTTAACGGCAAAAGCAACATCATCACAACAGAAGACAACAAGATCCACATCCACTTGGGTCCACAGTTCAAGAGGCCCTCGGAGGGCTGTAGTAGTCCAGTGCTGACCCTCGGTCTGAGCTCAGAAAGCAGCAAGGAAATGCAAACAGGAACGGTGCTCCGGTCCCCACGCCAATCTTCAGTGGGCAAGACGACTCAGAGCAAAATGACAAGCAGCATAACAATCACACCCATCACCTCGGCATCCTCCAGGCCGACACAGTCAGTGGTGAGAGCCTCGTCTGGTGTCCTCTTTGTCTTTCTATCTTCACTTTATTCCGCCAAAAATATCTGAATCATGTCTAATCTTTTACGTTGCAGTTGCTTCTGAAATGTTTCAAAATGAAATCAGGTGGTGTGTGCTGCCTAGATAGCACTCTCTCCAGGTATAAAACAGTGAATTTATAAACGTATGCTTTCACTGATATGAACTAACACTGGAATGATCTGACATGCATTAGATCCCACATCCCAGTGAGGCCTTTCTAAGGCTCTTATATAGACAAGCACAAGTCTACCAACTGACAAATTCACTCCTTTTAACCAAACACAGGCAAGAAGTGACCAAATTGGATGTTTTGCACTTTAAGAAGTTAGATGTACAGATAAGAAGCCTTGTTCAAACATAATATTACCAAACTTGATATCAATTAATATTCGAGACACTACACTAGTTAACCAACACGCACTTGTGTAAACAGACCCAGTAAGCATTGATTTGATGAGCACCGAGTCAAGTGTCTAGCCCTGATTCAGGACCATGAGTACCTTGGACATTACAGTCAAACCGACTGGAGGGTTGGAAATCTGTGAAAAAAGGACGTCAATGCAAATTGCGGAAATACATGATCTAGTCCTGAGCAGCATCATAGTGCAAGACACCAATGAAAACAAACCTATGAATATTATATTACAATAGATCCTCCTCAATGTTACACACTGGACCTTTAACTTTAATCTAAGAGACGTTTCTGAGGCAGTCGTGCTGTTTTGTTACTGCACGTGCCTGGCATTGTTTTTTTACCTCTCTACAAGATCTTCCACAATGAGTCTGTCTGCTCTCCAAACTACGTTTCATCAGGAGTCATTAATAACAGCATTAATAACAAGCACATCAAAAGGGCACACAAAGGGGAACCATTTACAGCCTACTGCTGTTAGAAACTGACTTTAATTAGCAAATGTCAGTGTCAGTAATCAATACCCACATTATTAAAGCATCAAACTAATAACGTCAGACAATTTTAGCAGTTAGCTAGTGTTCCTGTAGTCGGTCCACAGTCTGACTGTCAATACATAGGGTCTCCTCACTGGGGCGCGGACCGATCGCCTTTAATCTGGGAGCATTTGTTTGATCTCAACTCAACTTTAGCAACCTTATAAATTTTTAAATGAATCATCTTGTTTGTTCATGTTTTCAAGATTCTTCCCAGAACAATTTCTATGAGCCGCAGGATAACTTAAATGTCTGAGTTACAGGGGATGTACAGTGATATTAGATCCTGGAACAGGGCTGACCAAAACCATTCTTACTGGGCTTCTCAAATGTGCAATCCCTTCTCAAACATAACTGTGGTAGTTACACAAGAACAGTTAACAACAGATCAGCTCTGTGTTTTCCTGTTTCTACGATCCAAATCTTTTCCTTATGCCGTTTTGTCGTTTATTTTCCAGCCCAGTTCGGATGTGCAGTCAGCTCGCAGCGCAGCCACACGGATCCCTGTGTCAAAAGGTATGAAACCGAGCAGCAAGGCGGTTCTGGGCGTATCGACGGTGACGAGGTTAGAGTCGCGGGCCGAGAGTCAGTCGATGAAAATCGAGCTGAGGAAGTCGACGGTTTGTGGCTCTGCCTCCTTGATGGGAGGCAAGAGCTGAGGGCGAAAACACCAAGCAGCAATCTGCTGCCAAAAATTAGTGACAGGCAACATCAGTGTACAAACACTATATTATTTCAGTCATCTTCAGTTTGCATTTATCCATGTTTTCAGAACATATTTTATGTTATTTCAAGGACAGGTTTTGATTGTTTTATGTTATTTTTATGAAGCATCTCTCTGCATGTCTCCTGTGCATTTTGATTAACTTCATCTGGGTGATATTTGGCAGTAGGTCTAAACTTGTTCTCATCATTTACATTTTTCATAGCATGTGTTTATTTCCCCACCGCTTGTGGAGGTTTCCATTCACTGGAGCACTGTGAATTGTTTGTGACAGTATCATCATTTGTGACAGGCACCAAAATAAAAACTATTTATCTCTGAAACATGGCATTGCTTTGTAGCATTCATTTGTTCATGGTGAGTTTGAGCTTAAAAGGTGGTGAGAATCAACCAGGAAACCTCCATATTATTAACTCATGCTGCTAAACCAAACACTGCTCGACAGCCATGAAAACTAATTTTCAGACCTCACATGTTCATGTCATGTTTCCATGGCTTGTGTGAAATTATAATACACGTCTTGGACATAGGAAAAAACTCAAAGTGTACACTGACATATTTTAGGGTAGAGAGTCTAATGAAAAAGTTGTCAGTGGTTTCTGTGGTTATCCAGAGTGAGTGAGTTATAACACAGTAAAATCTAACCACATGCAGATGATACACATATTTATAGATACAGTGTGACTTATACTTCCCGAGGATATAACATCTCCCATGAATTAACTTCAGTAAATCCACTTAGAAATCATAGAATACCGAGACCATAGACCACTGGTTCCCAACCACTAGGGGTCGCCAAAGCTTCACGAAGCTTCTTGATTTTAATGGGTGTAAGAAAACTTAAAAATATACACAGTCCGCCTATACCTCAGCATTTTGTTCAGTTCAAAAGTAAGTCTAAACTAAATAAAACTGTTATTTTAAAATTTGGATTATTTAAGATGTAAAACTCTGAAGAGCTGAATACAGTGTATATTATTATTATTATTATTATTATTATTATTATTATTATAGATCACAGTGTACACTGACAAAACTTCAGTCTCATCCTGCATTATAACAACCAAAGAGCTGATAGAGCAATTAGAAGAAAACTCAAAAAAGAAGAATACTAAGTCTGTATGATTATTGATTAAATATATATATATATATATATATATATATATATATATATATATATATATATATATATATAATACAGAGAATTGTATAAAAAGTTCCCTACACAGGAAATATTCTGAATAAAATCCTTTTTTTAAAATCAAACTTCATGCAGTTACTGAGTTTCACTGTTTGGGTTCATTGTACAGTTTTGAATATAATATGAAAAGGGTCCTTTAGGAAAAAGGTAGGAACCACTGATATAGCAGACTCAGTAAGCATCTAGCTCCCTCTTGTGGACATGTATAAAAATACAAAAGGTAGAAACTGATTTAGAAATGTGACATCTCTGAACAGATCAATCAGATTAATGCCTCAAACATCCTCTAACGGTTCTCTCATTGTAATCTCTGATTAATCAATAAATCACAATTATCTGCAGGCCATCATGTTTTCTGTGCACACTCTTCTGCCTCAGTTATCTTCAGCAGTCAGCAGGACGAGAGAGTGTAGGTGTGAGGAAACGAGGGGCTGAGGGAGGGAGATGGAAGCATCTGGCAAACTGGAGGGTGAACAAGAAGAGAAACACTGGTTCATAACCAACTGAGGGTTTTTGTTTAGCCGTGACTCCCCCGACGCTGCTGCAGGCAGATTTAGGTGGAACAAATGTCGTTCCTGGGAACAACATCAGAGGCTGAGCAGGATTATTAAAATAACATCTGAGCATGAGTCGGTCATTTTTACTGTGAGGACTTTAAACCATCAGCAGCTCTGAGCCCTGAGCTGGATGATATACTGAATGTTAATGAATATAATATGGCTGCAACTCATGATCTGAGTCATCTGTTACTTTTACAATTAATTCATTAATCATTAAGTCTTTAAAATGTCAGAAAACAGTCAAATTACTTGTTAAATCCAAATCCCAAATGGTTCATAATTAAAGGTCCAGTATGTAATTTCTGCCACTAGGGGGTCTCTCACATCAAACAATAACAAGAGGCAGTTTGATGATGTAATGAAGCAGTGTGGGATCATGGGAGTTGTTGTCTTCTCTGATAACTTAAGATCCAGACGTCCGATGACTAAAATCCTTCATCCGGTTCAAATCTAGAGTTAAAAAGCACCAAGATCTAAACAGTGGATGGTAACAATGTGGCTTCAGACTGGATCAACAGTCAATGTATGACAGCTTCTGGCAGACAACCACAACGCTGACGCAGGCACAAAGGGGATATGGCGCCATCGACAGGCGACCGGTGAAACGCAGCGTTACCTGAATAAAATGACAGATTTGAACATTGTTGGAAACATTTGGGATAATGGAAGAACTCAACTACATAGAGAACATAGAGCTTATACACTGTTTGATGAGGACATCTGCCACTAAATGCAACGCACTGGACCTTTAAACCTGTCTCTACCTTTAAACTGTTACAATCTGTTCAATATCCCATTATATTAATTATTTAATTATTCTTCTTATTTCTAACTTTGTCTGAGAAATATTATTTTCTTTATTATTTTCTTACAGCTCCACTTACAACCATTTATTTAGCTGCTCATTGTGTTTCTAACTGTAGATTTTTGTCAAAGCTTTACTAATCAATATCTTTTAATTAATCAAACTGCTCTTTGTAAATGGAAAGTGGAACATCCAGCAGCTAAAGAGACATATATTTTTCTCAGGAGGTGGTGGAGACCACAAACAGAGCTAAAAGTAGGAGCTAGTTAATACATGTTAGCGAAGGAGAGAATAAATGTGATTGTTGAGCCAGAATTAAACCAATGTGCCCTTCAAGGACACACATTTGTTGTAATTTCCAACCACAGGTCTGGTGATGGATGTTGCCTCAGCTAACACTCGACTCTGAGCGGAGATCTGAAGGTTTCTGAAGACGGACAGAAGCTCCAGGACAAACAGAGAAGCACCGGTTCACCTTTTCACTACAGCAACGTTATAGTTCCTCTTATATGTTGTTGACGTGATGCAAACAGAGCTGCAGTTAGAAAAGAAGAGATTTGTACAGATAAAATGCAGTTTGGAATTTGCATAGAAACATGATGTCCTTTAGGGTCCTTTAGGGTCCTTTCGGGTCCTTTAGGGTCGTTCCAGTGGAGAAAACCACATCAGCCTATACACATAAGAAAAAAGAGTTTGGAGCTGTTGCACCATAAATATGTCCCAACTCTTTGTGCTCTGCTGCAGTTTATTTCTTCCACCGCTCCCCTCAGACAGCCTGAGTCAGCCACTGAGGGATTCTGGGAGTCTGAGGCTGAGGCTGGGGGTTAGCTGAGGTAGTGGACTTCTCTTTTACTAAACAGCACTGTGGTTAGTTAGCGTACTGAGAGAGGAGAGGACTGTTTAAAGGAAAGTCACACTGCAAGATACCAGAATCAATGAATTCATTTAGCTTACAAGTTAATAAATAATAAGTCATAATTATATTTCATCTGTTCTATAAAGAAATAATCTGACTGCGTTCCCTTTAACCTGGCAGTGAGAACATATAATAATAATAATTAATATGATCTTCTGGTGTGGAAGCATTACACTCTGAGTCTGTGTGTGTTTAGATTTGGTCGTAGACGGTTTGTCACACGGTGGAAATTTAGTTTTACGTTGGATTCAAAATCTTCTTTTTAAAGTTGCTGAATTACTGAAGTGTCTGAAAGTAGGCCGGTTGAATCGTTGAGTGAGTGTTGGTTTAAAGTTTATCTGATGGTATAAACGTAAGAACACATTAATTGTGTTTCTGTTTGGTTTTCTTTAGAAAATCTCACTATTAAAAAAACACTTATAGGTGGTTTTAAATACACAGGACACACGTTGTTTTACGTCTGTGTGATTATTCTCTGACTATCGGGACGCTTTAATTACTCACACATGATAATAATATAATACACAATGAACTGATGTACTTTGAACTGTCCAACAGTGGATTTATGTGATTAAAAATAAACTTATCAACAGTGAAATTAAAGACGACTGTATCAGGTTGTGTGAATTATTGTTTCCTCCTCTTATCCAGTAACTAAATAAAACTCTTCATCGTTTTTATTTACAGTGTTTTTTTGTTTTCTCCGGATGCCTTCAAGTGTTTCACGTAAACTTTTTACTGAGATCAGACATATAAAGGACTTGTTGTGTGTCTTTCCAGAAAGAAAATATACAAACAGATTTCAGCCTGTAGAAAATAACCTGGTTAACTGTTGGTAGCAGAAGTCTGAAAGTGAGAAAACAACAACACGACAACAAAGATGTGCAGCAACAAAATTAAATGCAGATTTAAAATATAAACATGTAGCTGTTTAAATTTAGAACAGATAACCGTCACCTCTATTATCAATTATCATGACATGACGTATCATGAATGAATAAAAAGATATATTTTCAATAATTAAAATACATTTTTAAGCTTTCATTTTACATAAAATCTTGGCTTTTTAATGTTTAATTAAAGATAATTACACATAAACAAATATTTAAAATACTCATTTGATTGAATGAATGAATTATACAGTAAGCGCATGTTTTGTAAATTCATTTCTTTATGCAACTAATTTCCGACAGAAATGAGCGTCCATAAATGCACTGAATGTCCAAACTCATATTTCCGACAGTCACTGAACGCACCACTCTCTCGGCACCAAACCAGTGACGTCATTGTTATCGATAGTACACTTCCTGGAGGAGCTGCCGTCGTCAGCCGTCGGGAGGTTAAAATAATGGATTAAATCCCCGAACAGCCGAAAACTAATGCCAGCGCGGTTCGGTAACTTCCGCCAGTAGTCGTTATATGTCGGGGGGGGGCGCTAGGTGGCTAACAGCGGTAGCTAATCATGATGGCGTCCAGTTACAACGCCAAAGACGAGGACGGACACATCACCGTGTCCGGGCCCGGAGGCGGCGGGACGCTGCGGGGCAAGAAGCCCGAGAACACCGCGTTCAAACAGCAGCGACTGCCCGCCTGGCAGCCCATCCTCACCGCGGGAACCGTGCTCCCTGCCTTCTTCATCATCGGACTCATCTTCATCCCCATCGGCATCGGCCTGTACGTGACGTCCAACAACATCAAAGAGTTTGAGGTAACGTAGATATCAGTGGGATGGTGTTATTAATAATATATAACAAATATAATAACAATATATATAATAATAATAAATAATAATTAATGTTATATTCCACACACACACTGTTAATGTCCGCTGTGGCCTCTAACGCCAAACTCCACTTAAAAAAACAACAATTTGTTTGTAACTTTAATGTCGGTAGATTTCCACTCATCCTGTTGACATTGTGTGAAACTTTACATCCTGTCAGTTTATTCGGCCTATATTTAAACGAAATTCAGCTTTTGTTTCAGTAATCAAACCAACATTTGATTAACATTGTTGAGTCAGTTTGCTTGCTGTTCCCACTTTCCTCCTCCAGAATATGTTACTAACATGTGAAGCATGTTTGGCTTTAATACACAATGACTCTACAGAAATGGTTTGTTTAGAGATTTACAGACTTTACCATGACTCAGCTAAGAGGAAACACTAAAATGGACGATTTCCAAATGGAGTTTGGTATGTTGACAGGACAGAATATATATATTGTACTGTTGCCAATAACACAACAGACCTTCGACCATGTGTCTCATTCATTACTTTCATTTCCACAATATTTAATAAGTATTTATCCTTTGTTCCTCTTTGTTATTTTCCTCCAGCACATAAAGTGAAATCCAGATCAATTGTTCCAGATCAACTGTGTTTTGATTAAAAAGCGTCTTAAAACATGAAAACTACTTTGTTTGCTTTGTACACTTCGCTGCCGTTTTACAAAGTGCTATATAACGATAGAAGTTTGCTTTCCTCGTCTGCAGATTGATTACACAGGCGTCGACATGTCCAGTCCGTGCTTCAACTGCTCCCAGAACTTCAGCTGGAACAGCACCCGGCCGTGTACCTGCACGGTGCCGTTCTACCTGGAGCAGCCGTATGAAGTGAGACAAACGTACTCTCCATAAACACTCTCACAGCCCGTTTGGACAGCCGTCTTTTACACTTGTATTTGAATCCACAGAGCAACGTCTTCATGTACTACGGCCTCTCGAACTTCTACCAGAACCACCGTCGCTACGTGAAGTCCAGAGACGACAGTCAGCTGAATGGAAACGTGGATTCCCTCAAGGTACGACTTCAACCGGACGTCTGCAGTAACATTTAAAATACATAAAGTTAAACATCCTGAGACAGTACTGACCTTAAAGTTGGTTTACAGAACATAAAAAAATAATAATATTAAATAAAAAAAGACATCAGGGAAAGAACAACCAGGAATAAATAGAAATAATTATAGAATAACTGCATACAGCTGAAACTGATGATTAGAGTTGTGTGTGAACTAATTATAGTGTAAACAGTAGTAGGCAGCTGGATGTTCTCTTTCCCTAATTAGTAAATTTTACCTTTTATTTTTCCATTAGAACACTTATCATGGATCTATTTTCTATATACTGTTGATATACACTTAAAATATAATGCACATATTCTCACACACTTATTATAAAAAGGTGTTGAAGTTTGATTGAAAAGACAAGATCATGATTGACATAGATACATAATTAACTCCAAAATATGTTAAATTATTCGGTTTCTATTATAATTACTAACAGCTGTTGTTGTTGTTGTTGTTGTTTTAATGAGGTGCCAGTGAGCTTAAAAAACATCAAAATAGCTTGTTTCTAAAAAAACCCAACACCAAACAGAAGTCCCTGAAGTCCACGCAGCGTTATTTATCTGTAGTCTCCTCCTCAACCGCAGGAACCCAGTAAGGAGTGCGAGCCATACGCTAAACACGACGGCAAGCCGATTGCGCCGTGTGGAGCGATCGCCAACAGCATGTTCAACGGTGAGCCAGCTTCCCGCTCTGTTTAGATTGATACCAATCATCAATATCAGATTTAATTTCTAATCAATCGTCTTTCCCTTTACCCGACAGACACGCTGGAGCTGTTTTACAACGATCCCAACGGCACAAGAGTCCAGATTCCTCTGACCAACACCGGCATCGCCTGGTGGACCGACAAGCACGTGAAGTTCAGGAACCCTGGAGGCGACAGCTCAAACATCACAGCCTCTTTCCAAGGTATCAGCAGCAGCTTGTTCTGTGTCATTAACCTCCGAGTGTCCATGGAAACGGCACCTTCACTTTATTTGTTTCTTTCTGTTTCAGGCACCTCGAAGCCGGTGAACTGGCGCAAGCCCGTCTACGAGCTGGACACGGCTGCAGACAACAACGGCTTCATCAACGAGGACTTCATCGTGTGGATGAGAACCGCCGCCCTGCCGACCTTCCGCAAACTCTACCGCATCATCAACAAGACGAGCAGCATGGTTCCGACTCTGCCGCGAGGAAACTACACGCTGGAGGTCGTCTACAGTATCCTTCATGTGAAACTGCACCAAAAACACTCAGGAGAGGTGGAGTTATTAATAATAAATGAAAAGCTAAAAATAGGCTGGACCAGTAGAAATGGTGCCCTGTGTGAGGCAGAGTCCGTACTGCAGTGGCCACGGGTTCGACTCCGACCTGATGTTTGCTGCGTGTGAGGCCCCAAAAATATCTAAAAAACTTTACATTAAATTATAATGTAAACATATTCTTCTTCATTCCTCTTCTTTTCTGTGTTATTAGCAACTAAACAGTGTAACGACGTGTGAGTGAGTTAGTTAGTTAGTTAGTAGTTAGTATTACAGAGTTACAGTTTGATGGAGACTAATGTTGATGTTCACTGTTCCCGCCTTTAACCAGTCGACCTCAGATTATCCCGTTCGCAGCTTCGAGGGCAGGAAGCGGATGATCCTGAGCACCATCTCCTGGATGGGAGGCAAGAACCCGTTCCTGGGCATCGCCTACATCACCGTGGGCTCCGTCTGCTTCTTCCTGGGCGTCGTCCTGCTCATCATCCACCACAAATGTGGCAACCGCAGCAACAGCGCCGACATTTCCAACTGAGACCGGCCGCCCTCCGGCTCACCTCTGCTGCAGCGAGGGTAGAAACAAGCATCAGACAGGGTTTTAGGGTTTTAGGGTTTTAGGTTGCTTGACGGTGCCTGATTATTTGCCAAAATTTATAGAAAAGTAGCCAAAAAACTTACAACCGCAGTCGACGTATAACAACTTTTGAACGCTTTTACTTCCTGGTAGGACGAGCGTTAGAGTATCAGACTGATGAGTCACATGATCAGCTGCCTTCAGAGAGTTTCTATCAGGTCTGAAAGCGTCGAGATTTAATCTGGAAACCTTCAGACAGAAACTGTAAAACGACCGCAGTGCTTTACCGGGACCAAAACCACGAGGACACGTCAGTCCAAATACAACACTCTCATGCCGTACACTGAAAGAGTACGCTTTAGTCACTCCTCCTCTTCCTCCTCTTCCTCCTCCTCCTCCTCCCTCCTCCTCCTCCTCCTCCTCCTCCTCTTCATCTCGACTGCGAAACCTTCATTCAGAATCGACACTGATAAACAGCCGTTCTCAAACCTATCTCTTAAAGCTCGGCCTCTGACTTTTAATGAGCGATTGGTGATAAAATAATGAATCACTGACATTTACGACAAACTGAAGAAAACGAAACACTTTGTGTGTCTGCGATAAAGCGACTGACGACGCCACTCGACCACAAACACCAGAGAGTTAGCCTCTCTGAGCCGCTAGCTTCTGTCTACAGGAGGAACACGGGTCTGGATCCGGACTTTAAGAACCCCCCGCTGTAAAAGATTGATTTTGTTTTGGTAGAAATACCCTAAATTCTCTGCTTCCAGCTTCTCAGATGTGAATATTTACTTGTTGTCTTTGTCTTCTGTGACATTAAACTGAATCCTTTGACCATACGTGTACTGTAAAAGGCGTTTGGAGTTGTGAACTCATTAACATTAATTTACACAGGAGGGACGATTACACCGACTCTTATCATACGTGTAGCCTGTGAATATTGTATTGAGACCATCCAAACCTTAAAGGCTGATTGTACTGCTTTTAATCCACAGATAATAAAACAAAATGAACACGTATTTAATGTTTTCCCACTAGAACTATATCGTGGCATTAAAGCGAGGGCATTGAATTAGCATATAGCTGATGAGCAGTAAGGAACATATAGATAATATATAATGTTCTGACGCCTGTAGGATCTCAGTGGAGGTGAGCTGGAGCGTTTCTTTAAGCTGCATGCTGGTTAGCAGAGACGTTAATGTGATTACCGAGCTGCTTGAGCGGCTCGTCTTTGTGCCTCGTTTCGTCTGCGACTTTAACCTTCTTACGAACTATAAGTTCACGCTTTCACGCGCAAGTTCCACGGAGCACAAAATGTTTGGGAGCAGCTTCGTTTCTTTACGTATTTCATTTTAAGAAACGTTTGGAGAGCCGGTGTTTGCACACTGTAAAAAAATATTTGAGAAAATTCATAATTTTAACTGATTTCACTAAATGTTTAAGTTTTAGGTCAAACTTTGAAGTTTTTAAATAAAATGTAAAACAGTTTGCTGACATACCTTTTTTTCTAATTTACTTTTAAATACAGAAAATTCAGTATTTAACTTTTTTTTTAAAACTTTAACTGAGCTGTGAATTTGATTTTTCATTATTTTGGTGCTTGGAAATGAAATATTTGCAATTGAAAATATTAAATTATATATATTAAATTAAGAAATCGAAAAAAAAAATTTGTTTGTTAAACTTAAAAATGTTAGTTATTATTATTATTAGTTTATTTGAGAACTTAAGAGTTTGACTCAAAGCTTTAGTGAAGACAGTTGAAACTATGCGTGCGAGCTCAGGTTTGAGTCTAAAGGTTTAAAATGTAAATGAATCCAGAAACGTGCACAGACACGTCGCTGTAGCTTCGTTCGTTGTCGTTTACATGCAGTAATAATAGATTATAAATGCAGCATGATGAAACTACATGTGATTAAATGTGTTTGTTAACATTTACACTGCTGACGGTGAATCTAACGCACACGAGTAGTTAACACTCAAATCCTGCCACATTCAGATTAATACAGGCTGCATGTGGAAATACGCTGAGTAAAAATGTTTTATTTATTTTATTATCTCATCAACATGAAAAGCACTGAATTTCTTTTGATACTCATCTGTGTTGTATTGTTGCTTAAAAAGAATAAATTTGTCATTTAAATTAAAGGTTTCTGTGTTTGACATTTATTTATATGGACAAAGCACATTAATCAACTTTACTGTAAATTATTATCATTTATAATGTTTATATCACATTTGTCTGAATTGTTTTTGTGTTTTTGTCAAGAGTAAAAGAGTAATGAGTCTATTCGTGGGTACAAATAAAATAACCTTGAACCTATTTCAAATAAATAATATGACAATAATGTTGATCTTGAGAAAATGTTAAAAGGTGAAGTTACATCATACCATATTGTTAATAAAGTACTGATAAATGTGCCGTACACACCCAAATATTGAGTTTGTGCTTTAAGGCTTTAAGTGCTGATATGTAAGATATTATTATATTTTCCCCTAACATGGTTTTATTGATCCCCAGGAGCAAATTTACACGATACAGCAAAAAACAGGCCGAGGAGTTCAAAACTACATTAAAAAATAACTATTAACTAAACATTAAATAAATAAAATAAAAGTTTATTTATAAAGATCATTAAATAAATAAAATAAAAGTTTATTTATAAAGATCATTAAATAAATAAAATAAAAGTTTATTTATAAACATCACCAATAAATGATAATGAACTATAAATAAAATTAATTAATTAATATAGTATATATGTATAAATTCCTCATATATTGCTCATATTTTAGGAACATAAATGAACACTGATGTAAACATTACATTGATGTAATAAATAAAATAATAAGAGAATAAAGTAATATAATAATGGAGGGTGTCACTGCGCCGTTCAGCCTGTAGGGGGCCACACACACACAGACTGCCGGTAATCTGCGCGTAGAAGAAGAGGCAGACAGCGGAAGTGTTGCGGTGTCCTTGTGCGGTGGAAGACAGACCGAGAGGATGAACAGACACATCTTTGTAAGTGTTATCTCTTCTTACTGTTTGTGTTTCACCTTGTGGGATCACTATTGATCACTATCGATCAGTATCGATCAGTATTGAAGTCATTCAGCTGATCGGTCGCGTGACAGCCGCGGAGGAAGGACGTCACGATGCTAACGGTTAGCCGGGGTCAGAGTTAGCTTCAGCTGAGAGAGAGAGTCGCTGTTTCCTCTGGTCGGAGAGATAAAGAGAGATAAAGAGAGATAAAGAGTGAATAATCTGAGGGTTACAGAGACAGCAGCGTTCAGCGGGAGTTTGTAATCTGTGTGTGATCAGTTTCCCGCTCTGTTGCTGTTCCCAGGAGATCCAGAAGGTGGCGCTGCGGAGCTTCAGCAGCTCGGTCCGCCGACAGCTGGACAACAAAGTCCCGCAGAAACAGAAACTGTTCCAGGTAAAGGCTCAAATACACAGATTAACTAATACAGATTAACACAGATTAACACAGATTAATACAGATTAATACAGATTAACACAGATTAATACAGATTAATACAGATTAACACAGATTAATAATTACATTAATACATAAATAATGTATTAATAATACAGATTAACACAGATTAATAATTACATTAATACATTATTAATGTATTAATAATACAGATTAACTCAGATTAACACAGATTAACACAGATTAATACAGATTAACACAGATTAATACTTACATTAATACATAAATAATGTATTAATAATACAGATTAATACTGATTAATACAGATTAATAATTACATTAATACATTATTTATGTATTAATTAATTATTAATACAGATTAACTCATGTATTAATAATACAGATTAATACAGATTAATACTTACATTAATACATTATTTATGTATTAATAATACAGATTAATACAGATTAATACAAATACATACTGCTTCCACCCAGATTAACTCAGATTAACACAGTAACACAATTAATACTTACATTAATACATAAATAATGTATTAATACTTACAGATTAACTCAGATAAATACAGATGATATTAATAATACAGATTAACTCAGATTAACACAGATTAATACAGATTAATACTTACATTAATACATAAATAATGTATTAATACTTACATTAATACATAAATAATGTATTAATAATACAGATTAACTCAGATTAACACAGATTAATACAGATTAATAATTACATTAATACATAAATAATGTATTAATAATTACAGATTAATACATAAATAAGATTAATAATACAGATTAACACAGATTAATACTGATTAATACTGATAAATACAAATACATGCTGCTTCCACTCAGATTAACTCAGATTAACACAGATCAATACAGATTAATACAAATACATGCTGCTTCCACTCAGATTAATACAGTTTAATACAGTCACACATTAATACAGATTAATACAGTCATACAGATTAACTCAGATTAATACAGTCACACAGATTAATACAGTCACAGATTAATACAGTCATACAGATTAATACAGTCATACAGATTAACTCAGATTAATACAGTCACACAGATTAATACAGTCACAGATTAATACAGTCACAGATTAATACAGTCATACAGATTAATACAGTCATACAGATTAATACAGTTTAATAAGTAACACGGATTAATACAGATTAACACAGATTAATAATTACATTAATACATAAATAATACAGTATTAACACAGATTAACTACAGATCAACACAGATCAATACAGTTTAATACAATTACACTGATTCCATACAGATTAACACAGATTAATACAGTCACACAGATTAATAATTACAGTTTAATACAGTCACAAATAATGTATTAATAATACAGATTAATACTGATTAATACAGATTAACACAGATTAATACAGTCACACAGATTAATACACACACAGATTAATACAGATTAATAGTCACACAGATTAATACAGATTAATACAGTCACACAGATTAATACAGATTAATACAGATTAACACGTGTCCTCTTTATCTTCTTTAATGTTATTTCTCTTTTATTTTATTTCTCTTTACAGGTTTAACGTGTCCTTTCAAAATAAAGGCATAAAAAGCTCCTTAAACTATCTTTAAACTCTGTTATTAATGTCTGAAGTTTAATGTGTTTATTTTAGTAATCTGGAAGGTTGTTGTCTAAAGCAACTAAATTTGTTTTGGTCTCTTTATATATTTGCAGTATCATGTCAAATATCAGCGTCTGTACCGGTGATCAAACTGTTTGTAATGCTGGGAACATTTAAAGTTACCCAGCAGCTGTTTACATCTTTACATGATCTCAAGAGTTGTTGACCACCAGTAACATCTGCAGGCTATAAAACAATGTTACTGCACATTCACAGAATAAGAGAACGGCTGCTGGTCGACAGAGGACAGAAATCATGCTTTGATATTTTCAGGCTCATGTGGGACGAACAGGTGCGCGGAGCGTTATTGACTTTCTGTCTACAGAATCACTGAGACTCTTGGGAGTTGTGAGAAACGTTGCTGCGTAATAAAATCCTTTAAAGTTTCCTCAGAAACTCTCTTTAAGCCTGAAAGCAGACGTGTTTTATAATCGCAGAGGTCAAGTAGCAAACACTTTGTGATCCTCTGGCAGTAAAGAGATTAAACCTTAAAGAATAACTGTCCTCCAACAGTTTCACACAGACGTGGTTCAGTGTTCAGACTGTATGAAGGAGCAGCAGCAGTGAGACTGGCTCTGCAGACTGATTATTACTCGCGTTGACTGCTGCACGTTTTCATCTCTTCAGCAACGATTCTCCTCTTGAAGCCTCGAAACTTCCCTTTCTGTCCTTTTAGCTCCACAGATAAGTAGAAGGAGAACTAACTCTGCATGTTGTTGTGTTTGAGCTGCAGTGAGTAATAATCTGAATACGCTGATTAAAGCAACAACCTGCAGCTTTCACTGGGTTCACACTCTGGCGCCCCCTGTGGACACAAACTGTAGTGTCACTGATTTCATTACATTTATATCAGTTTTAACTTTTAACAAAGACATTTTTAATGCATGCAGATCTTTAATATGTGCTTTATAGTGGTTTATTGTACTTATTGTACATTTTAATACCAACATGTGTGCAGAATTTAATCCGTTATTTTGTTTGTTTGTTTGTATTTATTTTATATTGAGTGAGTAAAGGTCGGAATACAACACATTAAATATTTCAATTCATTATAAACCGTTTTATGGTGCAAACAGAACCTTTTTTCCAGGATATCAATAACAAATGGTCTTTTTATAATATATAATTTGTCATATAGGAACAAAAACCTGTATTTTTATAAAGACGTGTGCACCGGCACCGACAACACTGGACCGGACCACTAACACGCACTAATGTTGTCTGTCTACTGCTGAAAACAAAACTTTAACATGTTAACTTTTTTAAAATGGTGGTATAAACACTATAAACTGATTATTTAAAGTATAGTTGTAAAGTTCGGCTGTGGTTGGTAAATTAATCTCATACAGGAAATTAAAGTTGGTTCATGTGGTCGTAACAACTGTAACACTGATATTGATTCGCTCTATTTCAAGAGGAATCTGACTGAATCTGACCTGATGGACGGCGTAAATAACCTGAATATTGATTATTATCTTAAAGATAACGGCAAAATATCCTGGAAATAATCCGTGTTTAAGACATAAACCAGACACCACCTACCTGTAATGAGCCTGTGTCTTTAAAGGAGGAATAAACTGTTAATAGGATGCCTACCGGTGAACTATGGGAGGGTTTGTGAGCACATGCTGTTAAAGGGTCCCTGCAGGAGGTTGAAGGATCTTTGGAAGTGATGAACTGAGACTCAGATCAGTTTGAGCCTCAGATCGTCTCTGCTGGTGTTACTGTGAAGAACTTAAAGGTAACGTTAGCGGCTGCTGAGGCCACTCGTAGACTAAACACTAGTTTTATGGCTGGTTTGATCTCCTGCTTCTCTATAACCTGCAACGAGTGACTCCAGCCTGCATGATGAACCGCAGCAACTGAAAACCACTCGGACCTTTTGGGACATTTGTTGACCAAAGATTCCTAAAGGTCGGGTACGTTGCGCTCCCCGAGGCGGGTTAATCCTGTTCGGTGCTGTAGTGTTTGTGGATGTGGTTGTTGGGATCCGTTAGTTGCTGTTTGAGGTTTTGACCGCTGTGTCTCTCCTGCAGGAGAACGACGGGATACCGATTCATTTGAAAGGAGGAACCGCCGACGCTCTGCTGTACAGGACAACGATGGCCCTCACCATCCTAGGTGAGAAGATCTGCTCCGACTGCAACTCGCTGCCTTCTTTTCCTGCACAATCCTTTTATTTGTCATTTCTCTGAAAGTCCACCACAGTGAGAAAGAAAACGTGTCTCTGAACTTTAAATAGAATGAAAGTAATTTATAGTGGAAGAAAGAAAGTCTGCGAATCAGAGAAATAGACAATAATTTCACATCATTTCACAGCTGTAGCAACACTGAAGGAACTTTGTTCTCATAATCCTGTGGTTCTCAACCTGAGGGTCGGGACCCCCACTGGGGGTCGCCAAAGCTTCACAGGGAGTTTTTCATTTTTAGGCGTGTAAAGAAACATAAGAAATATTCACAGTGGGCTTACATCTTGACATTATAGTTTAAGATTAAGTGACACTGACTTCATTTAGAATTTATTTGTATTGTGAAAAGAAACCTAGTAAAAAGAACTTTAATCAAAATGTTTTATTTCAGCAGTTTGTCTTATAAAGATAAAATATGACAAACAGCATTATAATGAAGCACTGTAGTTCTACAGACTCTCAATAATCCTGATCCATCTGTCAAAATAATCTCAGTATGATGTTTTTATTGTATCGTGCAGATCAATAATTTATGTAACCGCCCCGTAAATCAGAGATTAGAGATCAGAAACGTCCCAAGAGGAATTTTACTGTGAAAACTGACAAATATTCAAATAATCACATCTGCCGACATTTTGCTTTTTAAAATCAGTGTTTTCCCTTTTTCCTGAAACTCATTTAATCTGCAGGTCAAACTGCTTTTATTGTGTTAGTGTGACATTGACTAACCAGCCTGGTTCTCCTTTCAGGGACCGGGTACGTTGTGTATGAACTGGTGAAGGCGGCGTTCCCTAAGAAGTGAAAATGCTCCAGCTGTTTACTTCCCTTTAAAGACCGGCCAGAAGCTCTATGTTGTATAAAAGATAATCCTCTGCCTGTTTCCTGTCACTTGTTTCATGTTCATGGGATCAATATTTATTTCTTGTACACTCTCTGATGACCTGAGGATCAATAAATAAAACCTCTCATGACTACAACCTGTTGAGTCTCTGCTGTGTTTTACATTAAATGTGTCTAAATGATTCTGTCAGAGTAGGAAATCTGAAAGGAAATGGCGCTCTTCCAAATTATTAGAATATCGCTCAATTTGGCAAGATAATCTTAAAACCTATAGAAAGGCCCTCCGTAATGCCAGAGGAGCCTATTACTCAGCACTACTGGAAGAAAATAAGAATAACTCTAGGTTCCTGTTCAGCACTGTAGCCAGGCTGACAGAGAGTCACAGCTCTATTGAGCCACATATCCCCATAAACTTAAGTAGAAATGACTTTATGAGCTTCTTCTATAATAAAATTATTACTATTAGAGAGAAAATTAATCACCAACTGCCATCAACAGTTATCAGTGGCTCCAGTTGTGGTTCTGGAGGCAGACACCCTCACCACATTCAAGAGTAGGCTTAAGACATTCCTCTTTGATAAAGCTTATAGTTAGGGCTGGATCAGGTGAGTCCTGAACCATCCCTTAGTTATGCTGCTATAGGCCTAGACTATCGGGGGATTTCCCATGGTGCACTTAGCTCCTCTCTTCCTCTCTCTTTCTGCACTCACTCATGTTCCATTAATGCATGTTACTAACTTCACTTCTTCCCCGGAGTTCTTGTGCTTTCTCGTCTCGCAGGTTCTTATCGATCCTGGTGGAGCCTCCTGCCATGGTCCTGCTAGATTGCCATTGCGGTCTAGACCTGCTCTATTTGAAAAGTGTCCTGAGATAACTTCTGTTATGAATTGGCGCTATACAAATAAAACTGAATTGAATCGAACTGAACTGAACTGAATACTCTGATTTAAATCTAATAACTACAGTACACCACCATAACCTTAGATGTGGCACTATACACATTTTATATAAAACATGTAAAGCTTTATTATTTTTGATGTTTTCTGTGATTCTTGCTCCTGTTTTATTAATTCATTGTGTGATTGTTGAATCCAGATCTTAACCCTTGAGGCACCTTTAAAATGAACATACAAGTTTTAACCTTGGGACCCAAAATGGTCCTTCATAAAAGTGTAATAAAAATGTCATATATACATTTTCTTTTTCGCTTTCACCACATCAAATCTTTTCAACGACTTCAGACCTAACCATAGATATAAAGTTTTTATTAATTCTTTTTTTTTTTTGGTAGTAGCTTAGATTTATTAGGTACTCATCAGGATTACAGTATATCAAAAATATGTGGTTATAATGGGAGTCAATGTGTCCAAGTCGGGCCCGAGGTGAAAGGTTGTAGGTATATATGCAAATCTCCTTTCCTATACACCTTACAATAGAGGGGATCATGGAATTTTAAAAATAATAATAAAAACAAATCCTGGCCAAGTTTCATACAATTAGCCTTTAAACTGATATATTGAGAATCAAACAAGTCAAAAACGCAGAGTGTTCATGTTTGGTCCCACAAGTTGCCTCGAGAGTTAATCTCAGTGAGACTGCCTGATAAAATGAAGATTACTATGTTATCAATATGTTTCATATAAGGTCATGCCCTCAGTTACAGTGAACAGTAGTTTTCTCCTTTGAAATGAGTCACAACTTAACCGTGGGCACAGCCCGCTGCATAAACAAATAGTCCTACACCTCTGCTGATAAGGTTTTATACTGTCTATTAATGTTTGACTTGTTGTTCCAGGTTGTTGGTTCCAAGGTTCAGAGCTGCTCTGTGATCATATTTCCTTAAAGAACACTTCAGTCTGAAGATGAATACAGAGAGTTGAGACTGTATGTGAATCAACAGACCTTTGAAAAGCTCCTGCTGTCAGTTACATGTTCTTTCTCTGGTTGGTTTCCTGGTTGACCGGTGAGCTGCTCATTAATTCACCTTCACTCATCAGCTCCATGCAGATTATTTCCACCATCAGAAGGTAACGTAACCACGTTTCCGTTTGTGCAGTGAAACTGATCTGATAACAGTAGTGATGTGCTGTGGTGCTTTGTTGACTGCAGACTGTAGAGTTTAGTTGAGATGACTGTAGTTGATTCATTGTGGTGCTGTTGTAGTTCTGTGTCTAATATTTGATCTCCTTCATTTACAAACGTATACAGAGGAGCAAACAATATTAGAAACAGCTGAAGAATAAAATGTGATCCAGTACATCAACACCATGAAACTAAAGAATGAGCACAGATTGAATCAACTGCTGCCAGTTTCACAAAGGTTGGATTTATTACAGGACTGTTGTATTCTGTCAGCCACAGCATTAGAGACAATAACATGAATGTTCGCTGTGTACCATCCATTGTTCCACTCATGCTAAGCTAGCTCTATGTATAAATCTTATAACAACATCAGTATCTTTATATGATATTCATATAAAATAAATCTTACATTATATAAACTACAGTCAATCACTGTCATCAATCACAGTACATTCTGTTTGTGGATAATGGAATATCTTTATCACAGTGAGTCTGCAGATTTTACTTGGACACTGTCATTGTCTCAGTTATTCATATTTTATTTTAGTTTGTGTGTTAATGTGAAACATGGAAGTTCAACTAGTTCAACCATAAAATAATAGAAACTAACATCCTTATCATACATCACTGATTAAAGAGCAAAGGTCAAACTGAGATAAAGTTAACAAGATATCATCAAATATGACTGCAGTGATTATAAAAGAAAAAAGCAGATATATTTGATCTTATTTAAACCTGTTTTTGCTAAAATTATGTTAATATTTCATTAATTTTCAACAGCTAATATGTTTTATAAAAGTCTGTCGGCTCAAACAAACAATGAACATAACCAGGACAATTAAGTTCCCTTAAACATATTCAACAAAATAGATGAGAAGGTTAAAAAGTATTTTCTGGTTCAACAACTTCTGTCTACAAATGATGGAATCAGTATCTTCATGTACATTCAGTCAGTTATTATTATAAATACACGTCATGACTTCACTTTTATTAATGAAAGAAGTCAAACTGAATCCAATCTCAGACAGTCCTTCAACATGACACTTACATGAGTTTGTATTTTACGAACTATCTTATGAACCTGTTGTTTTACTCCACAACTACTTGAAGGCAGAAAGACTGTCTTGCTCCATATGAGCTCTTTAGTGGACAACAAATACAACTGTATACAAGTAGTTTCTGAAACCTTTATCCAAACTGGAAATCTGTAAAATAATGTGTTACTTTGGTTCCATCTGGTGGTAGAATGAAGAATGACAGTGTGATGTAAAGCTTGCTGTAATGAATGAGCATGTTGTTGTGTCTGTGTGAAGGTGTGGGCTCTGCTATGGATCAGTGTGAGGACAGAGAGGAGGGAGTCCCTCCCTCTAAAAGCACTCTGTGTGGGGAACATGACACAAGGACCAAAGCTCAGAGGTGAGATGAGGATCTCTAACTGTCCATGACTCTTCTCCATGTCAGAGCTCAGCACTCAGATCACTGCACCATCATTATTCACACTCAAAGCTGTGTGTGTGTGTGTGTGTTGTGTTGTGTTGAAGTCCAGAGCAGCAGAACACAGCAGACTCTGCTGGACCTGGATCTGAACCTGAACCTGAACCTGGACCTGAACCCAGCTGTCCGTCTGTGAAGACTCCCCGGTTGATGTTTGAATCCACTGAGTTCAAACATGGACAGCAGTCTGATGCTCAAAGGTAATAAAAAAGTTCTTCTTGTAAAAACACAAGGGACAAAAGCACTTCTGGTGGTCTGGCAAACAAGAAACCCTGAGCAATGGAGAGCTTCATAGAGTTTGACTGTAAATATAAAGAAATTAAGTCTGTGACCAGTTCTAGAAATGGTTTACAAAGAAGTGAAAGACTGCTGAAGAGGATACCTCCAGCATGGGAATATTCTCTCACCTAGTTAGTAACCATCTGTAACTGTGTAATGTTTAATTGTTGGTGTCAAAGTCCACCATTCCTACTAAAACAAGACAGGATGCAAACACACACACACACTTAAAGTTATTGTTTTACCTTTATTGATAGTGACAGCCAGAGATAGACAGGAGGGGGGGGCAGAGAGAGAGGGGACGACACACCACAAGGGGCCGCAGGTCAGATTCGAACCTAGGCCACTGCAACAACTCTGTGCATGGGTCGCCAGCTCTGCTGACTGAGCTGACGGGGCACCCGGAAACATACACTGTTATCAAGCTACCTGGTGCTGACCTTAGATATTTTGGCAAAGGAGCTGCTGTAAAAAAATTATTATATATTATATATACACTGAACAAAACTATAAACGCAACATTTTTCTTTTTTCCCCATTTCATCATAAGCTGAACTCAAAGATCTAAGACTTTCTCTATGTACACAAAAGGCCTATTTCTCTCAAACATTGTTCACAAATCTGTCAAAATCTGTGTTAGTGAGCACTTCTCCTTTGCCGAGATAATCCATCCACCTCACAGGTGTGGCATATCAAGATGCTGATCAGACAGCATGGGTATTGCACAGGTGTGCCTTAGGCTGGCCACAATAAAAGGCCACTCAAAAATGTGCAGTTTCACTGTATTGGGGCGGTCTGGGGGGGTCCGGAAACCAGTCACCATCTGGTGCGACCACCATTTGCCTCACGCAGTGCAACACATCTCCTTCTCATAGAGTTAATCAGGTTGTTGATTGTGGCGTATGGACTGTTGGTCCACTCCTCTTCAATGGCTGTGTGAAGTTGCTGGATATTGGCAGGACCTGGAACACACTGTTGTATACGCCGATCCAGAGCATCCCAAACACGCTCAATGGGTGACATGTCCAGTGAGTATGCTGGCCATGCAAGAACTGGGATGTTTTCAGCATTCAGGAATTGTGTACAGATCGTTGCAACATGGGGCCGTGCATTATCATGCTGCAACATGAGGTGATGGTCGTGGATGAATGGCACAACAATGGGCCTCAGGATCTCGTCACGGTATCTCTGTGCATTCAAAATGCCATCAATAAAATGCACCTGTGTTCATTGTCCATAACACACGCCTGCCCATACCATTACCCCACCGCCACCACCCCTCGATCCACAACGCTGACATCAGCAAACCGCTCACCCACACGACGTCATACACGTTGTCTGCCATCTGC